AGGAGGGAGGGGGAAACGGAGGGAGGGGGAAACGGAGGGAGGGGATCTTTGTTTGGCGGGGTCGTAAATTAAATTGACACTATGTAATGTACTATTACGATGTGAGAAGGCAGCGTGGTCGAGTGGTCAGCGTGTCGGACTTGCGATTCGCCGCTCCCGGGTTCAAGTCCCGCCCTGGTCACTACTTGGATTTGTTTCACGGTAGCCCCGAGTTTCAAATCCTCGGCCATGTTTGTAATATAGCCAACTGGTTTGCCTTCGGCCAGTTGAGATTCTTAATACTGTTATTTTCAATTTGAATTATTTGTTTCAGTTGTTTGGTGGAAAACCTTTAAACTAGCTTCTAGCTAAGTGTTTCTCCACGTTAAAAACTGTTTATTTTTTTAATTTTATTATGAGGATGTCACATTACTAATCAGTGTATGTTAGTGTGGAAAAACCAAAGTAATATTTGAGATTCTAGTTGTCGGATGAAAGTGCTGTTCTTTAACTAAATAGAATGAGAATATACGCGAAGGTAAAAAAACATTACGTTCCTAACATTCTTACCCTCGGACGACAGTAACACGTGCTACACTCATTTGACTTGGTTTTATGGTTGACCGAGTGCCATCGCTTCTTATTTCTGCCTCCTCCTAAAAAATTAATAAGCTGGCAAATAAGGTTCTGCTGAGGCAGCTGTATATAGCACACCCCCCCCCCCAGGAAAAATAAGATTCGATCAATCCCGACCTCACTGTATTTTTAATGCTAGTACACGCAAGGAATTGTACATATTTTAGTTTTTTAACCGCGGTAGAATTTCCCCACTATCTTTAAAAGTTAAGGACCATGACAACAAGCGTAGATTAGTCACACTTGGGATCCAAAAATTTCAATCTGGATTGTTTGGAACACTATTAGCAATTTTGGAACACTATTAATCAATATTTATTTGCCGTGATATCGGGTAGGTTTATTAAAAGCAGTTAACATACGATCGGTGTCAATCGGCTTCCGAACATCCCGGCCGCTGAGATTTAGAAAAAAAAAATAAACAAAATATATAACGAAACAAATAACTTCAAAATGATCGTTCAATTGCTATTGAACAATGTAAAGAAAATTTCAAGTTCCTCAAAGACAACGAGCAGTTCAAGACTTCAAGAGAGCTGTTTCGAAAAAACATTGAGAATGGTTTGCACCTGATTCAGTGTGACAAATTCTGCGTCTAACCCCACAAGATCTCCCTCTTTCGGCAGCTCATCAGGCCCCAGAGGGGTGAACTCTCGGGATACGCTGCCTCTTCTGACAAGGGACACATCTTGGTACAAAACACTGTCATCGATTCTTTGACGGACTGTTGTGACAAAGGAAAATAAAAATGAGTTGAAGTGAATCACATCAAACAAACTAAATCATAACTACTACTAACTTGTGGTTTCATGACGACCATTTATGTCTCTCCTTGTAAAAACAACAGCGCATGGTAACTTCCAGTCTAACGAAAAATGAACTGCATCATTCTGCAGAGATAAAAATACCAGGTCATTTCATTGAGACTTCCACACAGAAAGTGAAAGTCGCTTTAGCTGGTCTCCACGACAAACTGTTATGTGTGTATTGCTTCCAAAACAAGTTGCTCTCATTCATGGTCTCACTCATGATCACTCCGTTCATTGTTGCAGCAACAAAAATTCTTGATAAAGGAAAAGATTTTCACATGAAAGGAATTGTCGCTGAGACTTGCCCAATGACGTGTCGCAACGACGTGTCGCTCTGCGTTTTTCGTCTCGTAAGACAATGTACTGCTCGCTTATCAGAATACGTTCATCAAAGGAATAAGCGACGTATCTGCGTATGTGTTATTTTCCGCAGATGACCCTGTCTGTACGATGTATTCTTGGAATCGTAATCATATAAAATATATTGTTTGTCATCGATAGAATTAAACCAAAAGATTGCAGCTTACTGGTGATATGGGAGTGATGGCGAAATCATTAAATAGGTACCACTGACTGCATGTTACGCCCTGAAAAAAAAAAAAAAGCATTTGGATTTGGTGCTGGTTCTTCAAAAACTTCTTTGGATTTTATGCAGAAAAAAAGTCTTTTTTAACAAGAGGCAGCACGAAATGTCTCAGTCTAAATGTGAAAAATGATTAATCACTACATTCATATGACACGAACAACTAGGGACAGTTGAGAGTCGCCCACACCTCTTTGCGGCTGTGGTAGGTGTTACCAACATGAATGTGAGCCAGCAAGTTTCCACCCGATTTGAAGTCCTGCACATGGCCAACGGTCGCCAACAGGTCGTACACGACCTCATTTTCCGAACATCTTACTTTCTGATTCTAAAAAAGTAATAATTTAACCAAAAGAAAGAAAGAAAATTTTAGAATAAGCTGAGGGGTAAACACATTTGATTGGTTCTTACTTACATGATTGGTTCTTGACAGAGATGACGTCACAACTAGCAACTTTTTTTCTTTTATGCTTCCTTATTATTTAAAACAAACAGATTTGCTATCACGTGGTTCTATTTAAACAATAGAGTGTTTCTGTCGAGGAAGTATCGGCTGATAGTTGCCCCGCGGAAATTTGATGCTCTTAAAACAAATATGCTAGTTTTAAGAACATCAAATTTCCAAGGGGCAACTATCAGACCAATAGTTCCGAGACATAAACACTCTATTGTTTTTATTGTTCACCACTAAATTTTCTTCCGCGCCTACAGCTTGTCACAAATGTCAATAATTCGCAACCGTACATTGGCTAAATAATACGTTATACCTGTCAGAATTGAAAAGTCACTGTTTTTCCGATCTGCCTAACTTCGCGGCCGTCAAACTATTCAAAACTTTTCACGGATGAGTACTATCAATCCAGGTATTTTCCGCGGACGGGCACTATCCATCCGGGTATTTTCCGCGGGCGGGCACTATGGGCTGATAGTGTCTCTCCACGGATGAACACTATCGCGTCACGTGATCGATTTAAACCAATAAGAACCGGAGAAAATTTAGTGGTGAACTATAATGGCCAGTATGGCTCGAATAAGTGACACAAGTAAGGAATACATTAAAATGCACTCGAACCACACTCATTGATTTTGAGTTTGCCGACTCTCCAGGAAAAAGCACAGCTTATGTCTGTTTTGTGGAAATAGTCCGTTTGACTNNNGTGGAATAATTGTTAAATAGATCAGAGCGTCAAAATATGGTGTGAACATCAGTGACAAACTCAGGTGCGCCTCTTCTCCCATGATCTCTTGCTGAACATATTAATATTGCACAGCAACATGGAGTTCATTTGATATCATGGCATTTTTTCACTGACTTTGTGGACCCCTTATTTAAGAGAAATTCCTATCGCAAACTGCCATTTAACGAAGCTTCTGGAAAAATTCATCAAACAAATCGGATTACAACACCCGCATCAGAAACTCTAATGTTAGTGCAGAAGATGGAGAGGAGAGTTTGTCTAAAAGAATTGTTAACCTACGCCGGTAAACCTTTCCCTGAGTTGCATTTTGTTTGACAAAGGTTTGGTTTCTATCATCAAGCATTGAGAGTAACAGAAGACACAAAATTGCTTGGCGTTTTGCAGAGGATTGATTTGTTATTATTTGTGAAAAGAAATATAAGATACTGTAAGATTGTTCTCTTGTTTTCTTAGAGTAAAATAAACAATAACACCACGAAGTGTCCCCAGTTCATTTGACAGCTTAGAAATAGATGTACCTCGTCAATCTTGGTCACTTGCATTTTACCGGAGTCAAGCGATATCATTATCGAGAGTGGAACCCAACCATGTAGGTTTTCGTCATCAGGAACCTCCACCCGTCTGGTGAAAAATAAACTTAATCACTCGTAGAACAGAAAAATCAGTGAACTTGTAAAGAATACCAAAAGTTTACTTCTTCGCCCGGCTGGAACTGAACCGTTTTGAGCCCCACTAAAGAGTGACACCGTGCAGTTTAAAGGGAAAGTACGGTCTAGAAAAAGTTTACTTGGATCAAAATTTCCTTGCTTGAGTTGTCCTAACTGGTTATTCATTTAAGCTAAAAGCGTTTTAGTTGCGAACAATTACGTTCCAAAAATCGGCATTTTAAAATTGAAATCCGCCATCTTTGTTATGACGTAGCAATAGTCAAACATGCTAAATTATATCCCTTGCTGAAGTGGATGTAAACAAGGAAAAGTGCAGCGATGGGGGCGCCAACTACTGAATTCTCGACTTGGATTTTAATCTAGCGAGAGGATGTAGTACATCCATTTATGTTTCAAACGAAACATGGTTCGTCTTCAGGAGAAGGAGATACTTCTGTTGGGGAGAAAGACAGAGAAAAAGTCAAGAAAATGAATTTCAAGAAGAAACGTCGATCCGCTCAGTCGCTCTCATCTTGGAAATCGCGAGTGGTTCTCTTGCGGAAACTGTCAAGAGAACCCTACGGAAAACGAGAATCTATCCCTCCTAAGAATTAAATGTACTAGGACACCGACTCAATTCGAAAGGAAAGGCAAAGGTTTTTTCCTCAAACAAATCCTAGCTGTGGAGTGAGTTACTTTGCTAAAGAAGACCGCAGTGCCCGCTACGGATTCATTTTACACTGCTACCTCGGAATGAGACGAACTATATATTTTTGCAGTTACAGGAACCCAGCTTCGGTGTATAACGGAACTCGAGCCATTTGGAACTAAGATCAGCCCCAGTTGGTACGCAACAAGTTAGAAATGATAGACTTGAAGATCATTCTTCGTATGCGTTAACACTGACAAAATTGATTACAAACACTTAGCTGCCAAAATTAACGCTGACAAAAGGCAGAAATTAATTGTTATGAATTAAATTTTGTTTGTTTCAACATTGACCTTTAATTTGCAAAGTTTTTTTTTTCATCTTTATTGCTTAGAATTAGCTTCAACGTAGTATTTTTCGTTCTAAAATGTTTGAAATGTCGCGATTTGTGAGAAGTGGAGCTTTGTTATTTCACAGGTGGCCCAAGCTCTGTCACAGGCTCTTTCACAGTGAACAATTAAAAAGCTTGTTTAGTGGTTTAGTTGGACTTGCTTTTGAGCTCCGTAAATGTAAAGTTGTGTGAAATAATCAAAGAAACAGTCTTACCTTCATAGAGAGTAGTCTGTGTTATTCTCCTCGCGATTTGAGGCCGTTTTTATGTGTTTTAGCTTGACGCCCTAAATATTACCGTGCATAAAATATGGGAAGGTCGGAAACTTCTGTTGACACATGCTCGCCAAAGTCGCTTGAAAACAACACTTAAATACTTTCCCTCGTATCAAAACTCGGCAGCACGAAAGCCAAATAGTTGCCCTTTAAGTTCACCGAAAAAATCCCACAAAAGTCGTTTTGTCGAGCAACCAATCCGGCGAGAATTTCAAATTAACGGCCGTTCGGAATTCTTCTAATGCGTGGAAGGAACTTCTTGTGCAGCTGAGAGACCGTTAATGCGTAGTCAACCTGGAACCTAGTTAAATCTCTCTCAACGGGTCCTCCCCATAGTCTTCTAACACCAACTCTTCACACATACTAAGGTACCCCGGGTAAACTCATCGACTTGACTAGATCGTCGATACTGTCCATCTTCACTGTTTTCAATGGATTTTTACAAATATCCTCTTACCCGGGGTACCTTAGTATGTGTGAAGAGTTGGTGTTAGAAGACTATGGGGAGGACCCGTTGAGAGAGATTTAACTAGGTTCCAGGTTGACTACGCATTAACGGTCTCTCAGCTGCACAAGAAGTTCCTTCCACGCATTAGAAGAATTCCGAACGGCCGTTAATTTGAAATTCTCGCCGGATTGGTTGCTCGACAAAACGACTTTTGTGGGATTTTTTCGGTGAACTTAAAGGGCAACTATTTGGCTTTCGTGCTGCCGAGTTTTGATACGAGGGAAAGTATTTAAGTGTTGTTTTCAAGCGACTTTGGCGAGCATGTGTCAACAGAAGTTTCCGACCTTCCCATATTTTATGCACGGTAATATTTAGGGCGTCAAGCTAAAACACATAAAAACGGCCTCAAATCGCGAGGAGAATAACACAGACTACTCTCTATGAAGGTAAGACTGTTTCTTTGATTATTTCACACAACTTTACATTTACGGAGCTCAAAAGCAAGTCCAACTAAACCACTAAACAAACTCTTTAATTATTCACTGTGAAAGAGCCTGTGACAGAGCTTGGGTCACCTGTGGTTATTTTCGACGCGCGCCGGAAAATCGCCTTTGTCATACAGTGTTTACATTAGAAATTACTTCAATATAATTGAAGCTAAAATGAAACTTTCGATTTCTTTTTAAAGTATAAGCACTGCATAATTACGTCAAGTAGTTGGTTCGAAGACAAAAATATTTTCATGTTATTTTTATCGTGTCCAATCGATATGATGTAGTAAAATATGGGCGCCTGCCTGACGAAGGATTATTTGTATTAGTCGCAAACGTGTTTGTCTTGATAATTTGCTAGCGATGTATTAAATGTCATGTAGTTTTTTTCTCCGCAGGAGAATGTGACTGTTGGGGTAAAGAAAATTTACTCGATGGACTCATAACAGACTTAGGAAAGACAAGATATATTTGTACACCGTTTGGAAAAGTGCATGATGTTGTAAATCGGCTTTGGTCAAGGGTGGCGACTGAAAATTTACCACATACGGTGTACCACCATTACGAGTTTCAATTAATTCGCTTACAATAAAATGGTTTGAAAAACTCGTAGAATAAATAACTGGGAGCTGTGTTGAATATGGAAAAGGTAAGCATAGCTTTCAGTTCGAAGCGAAGGTCAACAAGGAAAACTTACATGCCTGTATGTCTCGCTGGAAGTCTTCGTTCTGGAAGTTCTGAGGTTTTATAGGGTTCGGCAAGCCGTCGTCGCGGATCATTTTTGCCGGCTAACTTTTCTTTAATATTTCACTTTCCGGTAGCTTGTAGAGGCTTACACCTTTTCCTTTTGAATTTTAGTATGTATTTTGACATTCAACAACAGGACAGTTCACTTCATTTCAACTATTGGGAGTATTAGAAACTGTTGTCACAAAAGGTCAAACTTGTCAACAAGGACAAAGTGCCGAACTAAGTTTGACTATTTCTACGTCACAATGACGTAATATCCAAGATGGCGTTTTTCTAACCACGAAAGTTGTAAAAATGGGCAACTTCGAAGCGCTCTTGTCGCTAATAAAAAGAAAACTAGACAAAATGGCAGTTATTTTCGAACTCCTGAGGAAAAAGTCTTCTAATTGAGATAAACTTTTTCTAGACCGTACGTTCCCTTTAAAGACGTTCCGGTCAGTAAAATATGCGAGATCCATGCGCCGTTTAGAAGAATGCTCTCTAAAGGGTGTAACAAAATAGGCTGAATTTCGATTAAAACAAACCATTTCGGTCAATAGAGTTCTTGCTGAAACAACATTCGCTTTCGTTTCGCAATAGCAAAATTTCAACAACCAAATGAGAAAGTCTGAGATTCAGAGTTATTGGGCGACACAAAGTTTTCTATTGACTTTGGAGGATTGATAGCGGTCGTAAATAATATTAACAAGCCCACAATTAAGGAAAGGGGACAATTTGGAAAACTTCCTGTTTTATGTACCTTTCACTTCGCTATCCCGTCATTCGTCGGTGGTTTCTGACAACTCATAATTTATCATCCTACAAATTGCTACGTTTTATTGCAAGATTTTATATCCGCCCACTACACATACCCGCCTTCCGATGCAACGTCTTTATCGTGTCTAAACTTGCAGTCAGATCTGGAGCACGCGTTGCCATAACGACAAGCACGGGCGGAAGATGGAAGGGCAATGGGCTTCTCTTCAGTTTTTGGTGGATCTAGCAACTGGGAGAAAAGGTTTTTATTGTAATGCTTTAATGCGATTTTGAAGTCACATATTGTGCAAAGGATTTCATTCATATTTGCAGATACAGGAATTCAACTCATTTGATTTCATTGTGGATGTTTGTGTTCACAGGGAACTCTCTCTGGTGATCAACTCACGTAAAGGAACAATCACCATCTCCTCTTTGCTATGACAATTTTTTGTGAATCTTTGTAAAAGGATCTTCTCGTCAGCGATAATGCAGTGTAGATGACCAACTCGCATTATTCAACTTCAACATCGGGGGTTAGTTGTCGGGTTAGTAAAGGTCTTACAGACCTAAAACAATGATTAAATTCTTTCTTACGAGCGACTCAAAACTCATCCACGAATGACTTCAAATGCCTCATTATCAAAACGCGTTTTGAAGTTGCGGATTAATTTCTGCATTACGGTGTTGTGGCTGTAAAACGACTAGGCGTCCAATGTCCAATGTCCTTTAGGTTCAGACTCCTTAAGGCCTAACCAGGTTGTCGCTTACTTTAGGTTCAATTGCACTTACCTGCTGCTGTATTTAGGTTCAATTGCACTTACCTGCTGCTGTATTTAGGTTCAATTGCACTTACCTGCTGCTGTATTTTCCAAAATTCAACTTCTTTGGCATGTTCCATACCGCAGTTTAGTGCCAAGATGTCCGGCAGATTCTTAACTTTGCGAATTTGAACCTTCATCGAGGAAAGAAAGTTAGAAACGAGGAAACATTTCCCATGTATTACTTCGAAGAGTACATTTTAGTTTAAAAGCTGATTTAAATGCATCCACACTGCACGTTATCTTCATCTACCAAAAGTGTCGAGATACAAAATATGCATGTGATGCACGATCCTCGCAGTAGATAGCGCTATTTAAGCAATAGCGAAAATCAGACCTGAAAAAAATCAGGCCTGTACGGGATTCGAACCACTGACCTCTGCGATACTAGTGCAGCGCTCTACCAATTGAGCTAACAAGCCAACTGGGAGCAGGCCGTTAAGTTGATTCGTAATAAACCCGTGAAAGTGATAAATCAGATACAATGAAATATATGAAGTTCATATATTTTGAACTGCGGTATTAGATACATATGATGCACGATCCTCGCAGTAGATAGCGCTATTTAAGCAATAGCGAAAATCAGACCTGAAAAAAATCAGGCCTGTACGGGATTCGAACCACTGACCTCTGCGATACTAGTGCAGCGCTCTACCAATTGAGCTAACAAGCCAACTGGGAGCAGGCCGTTAAGTTGATTCGTAATAAACCCGTGAAAGTGATAAAT